AAAGTAAGTGCATATAACAATTTCAGTGCCAGAGCATGCTTTGGGCATACAATACTGATGATATCAATAGAGGTATTGTTCAGACTGAAATCTGTTTTCCACCATGTGCAGATGGCTGTAGGGTAATGTGGACTTATTCTGCACCTACAGCAGACACACCTTCTAGCAGCTGCCTCTGCCCCCCCGGACACCACCCAGACAGCTGTGTCACATTACAACCTTGGAACAGCAGCCAAACCCATTCACAGTGGGGGCCTGGGCTGCAAGACAAACGTTCCAAGAAATAAAGTGTTCGATGAAAGCATACCAGCAGCTCAATAATGAATGCTTTATGAAACTGGCTTTTCTAGAGAACCTCTCAAAAAGAAATGCCCCTCAGTAACCAGACTGCAGCAGTATGCGTAAAGGCTGTGGGCAAAAATGCAAGACCCAATTATGTTCCTTTCTACATGGTCAATCTACAAATGAACTAGATGACTGAGGAAACGCACACAAAAAACAAATAAACAAACAATGCATCTCTCAGACATTGTTCTAAAGACAACAAAATCAAGAATAATACAGTTCACACTGCAGCCTTTTGTATTCGGGCCTAATGGCCCAAGAAACTAAACTACAAATATGTTTACTACCTTCCAGTACCACAACAACACTTCATCTAATCCCTCAACAACATTGTCCTCAGAGAGTGACAGGCTTACGTCATCTGTTGTGAACATCACTTCCTCTGAGAGGGTGGGGGCAAAAAAGCTAGGTATGGTATCACGGAGTCAAATGTGCTCCAATATCAAGTTTCAAATAAGGTCAACACATGAACAAGTAAACAGTTGTTTTTTTACACTTCCAGCCCAAAACACCACCAATTTAAAAATCTGGTTTTTAGTTTGTGCATAAGAAAATTGTGTAAAAGGATGTGAAGGATTTCAAAACTGCACGTCTCAGAAGATAAACAAAGGTCCTGCACTGAGGACCAACATTGGAGCAAGATGATATAAACACTAAATCATGCTATAAGCTACTCTAAATCTGGCCATGCAGGCGATGTGCCTTTAAGATGGCTTTGTTATACACCAGCTTCTCTTTGGCATTGTCCTTAATGCAAAGACTCAACATCTTTAGTTTGCCATCAAGGCCAAGCCTGATGAGAATGGTGTATATCATAGTACCATCTAAACTCTGCAAATGATATAATATGATTAAGTAATGTCAACAGTGTATTTGGAAGATGAACAAAGGCATTACAGGTATGTCTGGATACAGTTCAGCTCGATCACTTCCCGCAACATAACAGAGCTGTTGCGACATGCCTACTTCCCAGTTTCATACCAGAGGCCAAGCATTAGCAAGCTGTGTCAGCTCCTGCCTCGGTGAGAAATCGACACCAGAGGTTATTTCTAGCTGTGCAACAAGATCATATTTTCCTCAAAGAAAGCAAAGCGCCAAACCTGTTTTCATGTATCCCAGAGATTATGAACACATGGCTGATCAAGATGTTGGAACGTTTGCCACTTATCAGACAGAAAAGTGGTCACTTACTGGATGGCTTGAGCACAAGGAACAGTAAATTTTTCAGGTGTTTAGAGGTGAATATGCTATGACTTTATGAACCAGTCTCCCCTACAATGACTGGAAGTGCTTGGTATGCAGTCTGAACCCTGACAAGTGGCAGCAGAGGTAATGTGAGCAAGCTTCACATTTGTGAATCAGATGCCCTTGTGGTCTTATTTGGACATTGGCTAACGTCCATCAAGTCTGATCCACTGACAGTGTCCCTTTGAGCCGTTAATCTGCCCTCTGGCTGTAAATTAATGCCAGCTTTCCTTTACTCCAATGGTTATGCACTTGTCAAACCAGCCCCTGATCTGGTCATTAACCAGAAAAAGTCACCCATCACTGGAGATGATTTGGCCTCCTTGAACCAGTCATGAAATGACACGCTGCCAGAGGGGGGGGGAGGATTAAAAACAAAACCCTAAGCAAAGGCAGTGGACACCATTAACACTTTCACTTACTCTCACCTTACATTAAAGAATCAGTACCATTCTTACCTCTATAGGTGACATAACCCAGGTGATTTTAAACAATCTATTTGTTTTACAGTGGACAACTTCCACTTAAGTCTGGGAAGCAAAAAATTATTATGACACACGGTACAAATCTGCCTTTAAGGTTTCTCCTTGTTAAAGGTTGTTTAAAACGTGCATTTCAAACCAGCTAATTTTGCTAGCAAGCAAAAACTGAATTTCTCACAAGAACTGAACCCACATGGATTTTTCAGAATCCATGCCGCCCCGGGTCCTCCCCCCCGGTCCTTAAACGTAACCAAGTGCCCCGCGGCACAACGTAACAGGGAACCCTCTAACCAATCAGAGCAACTAGGAGCGAGAGCGCCGCATGGCCGAAAACGTGAACACGACTTTACGCAGTTTCTCTCTGGTTAAACAGACAGCAGTAACAGACCTGGGGCCAGCCTTTAGCAACCGCAAGGGCAGAGGGAAAGGTTGACGGTTTTCCCCAATCACTTATGAGCCTTAAAAAGTAAAGAATTTTAAAAAATAAAATAAAGGTTGAATTGGAATACTTGAATCTATTTCCGTGCCAGCAAGGCACGCGGTGACAACGGACGACCACATGTCTCACATGCCCCCCTCGTTATAGAGTGACGCAGGAAAAAATAAAGCATATGTAATTACAAAGACCAAGCAATTTAGTGCACACGAGCACGAATATATATAGCAATTGGCAAATAACGACAATAAGATCGCCTCATCACTAAATCACAAGCAGTCGGAGAATTCAGCGTCGGAGAATTCAGGAAACGGCTGATAATTTGAATATTTTTCCTAGGGACTAGCTTAAATGAAGTAGCTCTAAATTGGCTGTCATGGTGGCGTCCAAGCCTCATGCGACAAAGCATCTCGCAAAAACAAGCGATGGGAGCTGAATATATTAATTAACGCAAGCTCCCAGGGTGAAGAATGAATGACTCAGCCACTGTTAAAAGGGGGAGGTGTCCATTTTCCAATGGCGACGTTAGCTAGCTCCCCAGCTTAAGGATCCACGCTTAGATTTGGTTCACTTCAATGCTTGCCGTTTATCCAGGGGAGGATTAATAACTATAAGGAATACAGTGTCAACGGAAACGGGACTGTACAATATTCAAGTTGTTATACATCTCAAAAAGTGACCACTGAAGCCGTGCATGTAGCCGGTGTTTCTGTCCATGTACCACTAGGCTGCTGTGGACGGACACTGCCCCGGAGATACTCAAGTGACACGAACCTTGGGATGGTACGGAGGTCTCCGTTTCCTTTGGTCTCATCCTGCCGAGAGAACCACACCTCCAACAGCTTCTCGGTCCCCTCGAAGAAATGTGCACCGTTATCTTCCATCGTGAGACAACAGACACCCAACAACCAAAAATATTACAACGTCGTTTATAACGTTTACAGCTTAATTACTCCTTCCTCGACCTGTTATTATTTCGCGAGGTTCAGTCCTTAAAACAATCCAGGAGTTGATTTGCTTGAGTTACCGTCTTCCCTTTAGCAGAGAATACCGTTAGCGAGCGCTAGCTAATATCGCCGGCCATACTGTGTAAGCGCTGAATGGAGACCGCGCGGAGCTTTTATTTGGCAATAGCCCTACGTAAGCCTCACCTCGAGCCAATCTGAACGCGAAGCCATATCTTGGGATTTGTGATTGGTCAGAAACCTATCAATTATAATAGAAGGCGGGTCTTCCGTCATGAAACTTTTCCGCCTGCATGTAGCTTTCCTCTGGAAATACATACTAATTATATATATATAAACAGCAACATCAACATTACATGACATCTGGATTTAAGTTTACGAAGGCCAGTATGACAGTTGACGGCATGTTCGTGTAAAAGTCCTTTTCTGATAAGTTTTCTTCTGTTCACGACGATTACGTAACTTTTTTTCTAACACAAGCCATTGTGTTTACTTATCACATTAATTTTTCGTATGTACGCTCTCTCTTTTTTAAGCTGTATAATTTGTTTTTTCACTTAATGGTACTATAATACTGATATTAAACTGCGAATATCAGATATAAACCACTTAAATGAGAATATGACCAAGTTGTTAAATTGGATTGAACTAAACTGGACTGCGCAGGTATTCGTTTTAGCAAAAGAGTGTACTTATAGAAGGAAAACAGGTGAAAGAACTCCCAAAGGATATTACATATCTACTGTATGTGTTACAGGACTTGTCTCATCTCATTGTGTTCCGGGCAGTGGGAACTCACACATACAATTGTCACCCAATAGAATGACAGTAATTAAGTATGAATCACATACATATGACATGACGTCACTCATCTACATATACAGGTGTGTGTGCATGTCAAAAACCTATCGATTATTATAGAAGGCAAGGGTGATGCCTTCTATAATAAGGCATCTACAAGGCATGATGTTTTGTTTTTTCATAACCTTTATTTATGGAAGACGTTTCATATGTTTACCACTAACTGCACTAAACAATGTTTTTTCTTTTTTTGGCTGACTGTAGTTCACAAAAGTAAAAAATGAATCTAAATCTCAAAAGAAAACTGTGTCTTAAAAAGAGATGCAGCGATCTACTTAAAGCCTTAGATGCTTATCAGAAAAAACATCAGCTAAAATAACAGTTAAGAAGTTGGAAAACTCATATTATCCCCCGAAAAAACAACCCCAGAAACACCCAGGATGTTTGCACATATCCTTAAGTTACACATAGCACTTGATATATTTAAACAATTTGTAATAGGTCCCATACCCTTCGGATCACATTGAGTTTGGTGGGAAGTGGTCACTCTAACTATATTAAATGAATACACTGCATATGTACACAGTTGTTCAGCTTTTGCAATACCATTATTATTATGACCATTAAATAATAATAATAATAATAATAATAATAATAATGATGATGATGATGATGATGATGATGATCCAGATAACGAGGATCCGTTTAGCTCATTTATTTATTCATCTTACGTGACGTTAAAAAAGGTAACCTCAAACCACAGACGGCCGCATTTTTGAAGAGCTTTCATGAGTACGCAAAGTGCAACGAACAGCAGCGAGAAACGCGGGTTGTAGTTTGCCATAGCTTGCCTGACAACGCGGCAAACTGCGGCGCCTGCTCATAAGAACTACCATACCCAGCGAGCCACGCGCGCCAATTAGAAACGTCAACGAGCCAGTGAACATTAAGCGGAGCAGACCAAAATCCCAAACAAGGAAATGGTGGGGGAATAAAACGACCAGATTATTTAATTAATGCATGTTATAATTAATATTTTATTTTATTGTAAATTAAGGCGTATTTATGGGTTAAAATGGATTACGACTTCAAAACAAAGCTGGCGGCGGAGAGAGAGAGAGTAGAAGATCTGTTCGAATATGAAGGTTGCAAAGTGGGTCGAGGCACCTACGGGCACGTTTATAAAGCTAAGCGCAAAGACGGGTAAGATAACCGTGAACGTTATTGTGTATGCTGACATAAAACTGACCGCGGGATGCATTTTGTGAACACACGCCTCGGTTATGTGCTGAACGGGGCGTTCGATTTGAAGCTCCCCGAAGCGATAGCCCGTGTCTCTGTGTTTTTGTTTTCATGTAACGCACTCACTCACCAACGGTCCCCCCCACCACCTCCGTCCCCAACCTCAGAGCTCCCCCCTTTCCTCCTCCTCCTCCTCCCCAACACCCCCAAACAACAATGTAAAGCCGCGGTGCTGTTTATTTTCTGACAAGTGTCCTGTCGGCGGTCGCACCAAAGGTAGCTTCTATCGTATTCTATCGTCACTTCGCGCAATAGTGACACCTGAGCGGCTTTTCTTGGCCCCGCTTTCAGCATCGTGGAGTGCCAAACTTTTTTTCTCCCTCTTTCTGACACACATTGTTTTCTCTCTGCCATTTGCTGCTTACACTCACTGACAAGCATATGACAGCGTGTGACCACGATGTATATATCAGCAACAGAAAGCAGGACAGATACGTTCTCACATTTCTGCTCTGCTGTGCCAACGGTGTCAATGTTCCTTATGCAAACTGGCAAAATCCCAGTCCAAAAAAGTGGCAGAATCTGGCTAGTGCGCTTCCTATTTGAATACTACAAGTTTCATTTGTACGATAGCCAAAAGGTTAATCACTCTGATCTAAAAATTACATTCAAGAAAAGCAGCGCTAACCAAGGGCACAGTGCATTAAGAGCTGCTTTGTCATAAAGTTTTCTCGAAATCTGAGATGGAGAAACTAATTTTAAGCATTAGATGAACTTATTATACAGATGGCCCAATTTGACTTCTTCCCATGTATTACTCGTTTTAGAATAGAATAGAGTAGAATGCCTTTATTGTCACCATACAGTTGTACAGTGAGATAAAGAGCATGTATAAAAATGTACAAATATACAATCCGGTGTAAGAATAAAAAAGTAAATATGTAAATAAATTGTTTTTTCCAGTCATGGCAGATGGCTGTCTCTCCTTGAGCCTGGTTCTGATTTCTTCCTGTTAAAAGGGAGTTTTTTCCCCCACTTTTTGCTCAAAGGGGGTCATTTGATTTTTGGGTATTTTTTCTATATTACTGTGGGGTCTTTAATCTTACAATATAAAACATCTTGGGGTGACTGATGTTGTGATTTGGCGCTATATACATAAAATGGAATGGAATGGAATTGTCAGTGTTGTTATAGCAAAGCTAAACACTGTTTTATTACCAGTAGGAACAGTATCACTCCAATTAGATCCAACCTAAAAGGAGTGTCACAGGGAACAGCTAGTTTTTCCACATTTATAATAGCCATTATCAAGTCAATATTCATAACTGGTTAAGAATACACATAAAACAGTTGTTTTTTGTTCATGTTTGTATAGCTATGGTTATAAAATGTCTGCACCTCCATGCACTTGTATTTTAAATATATTTTGTATTTTTCCAAAGAGATTAAAAAACATGAAATAAAGTTAAAGCTTTATTAGCTTTATTTCTTTCAACGTTTTGTCTGTATTGCTGTGATAATGCTAATGTGGCCATAACCTCTATAGACAACTCAAATAATACAATTATTATTAACATTTTAAAATCTTTGTAATAGAATCAAATTAAAATTTACCCAAGCTGTTAAAGAAGGCCTTTTCTTCTTCACGTACTTTGAGAATTGATGTATTAAAAACTTTTACAATCACTCAGTGTCTTTAAAATCTGAAACAGTTCAGGTTTGTAGATCAGACAGTTAGACTGTTTCTTCCTCACTGTGTTTGTTAATATTGTAACTTTATCAGCAGTGTAGATATGTTGGATTTAAACAAAGTGAGCCTAAAAGCAATGTTAAGCTACTTGACTCTAGTTTAGCCAATAGTTCGATGGAGTAACATAAAGTAGACAATTAACCACTGGTATTGCTTTAGTTAGTGGGCCGAGTTCATGTAAAACGAAGGGGGCATTAGTGCTTTCCAAACTATAAACTCAATAATAAATTCTTTAATCTTTAATAAAATGATCAGTGTTACTGCTTTGTCAGGTGTAACAATTAAGTTTAACATCCAGACATCCATGAAAACAGAATTTATTACATTTAACGGAGTTAGAAGTTAGCAGGGAGTTAGCTCGCTAGTTTCCACATAAACATGATATAGCATGTTCTGACTGAGAGATTTCTGAAAAAAATAAAACTTACAGCTCTGCCATCACTTCCAACATAAATGAAGACAAAACTAAACAGCAGTGACTTTTGTAGGGTTACTGAAGTTGGGCTAGCTGGTAATGCTGTGCTAGGCAATCGCTAGCAACACAGCTATGTTAGCATTATGTAAATACAGTGAAGCTGGAGGATGGATGCTAACTTTTTTCCACCTAATAGCATCCTGCCAAGCAATCGCATGGCAGGATGCTGTAAACAGACCAAACTTCAGTCAGGAGAACAACTGCGATAATCCATCCACAATATGAGGTTAGTCATTAATATACTGCAACAACATGGGAATAGAGCAGCTGCGAGAGAATTCCGCACTAATGAATCAATGGCACGGAAGTGGAGGAAGCAAGAAGAATGAGTTGAGTAAAATTTGACGGTTTAGTTTTGCTTAATGCGCCTTATAATCCGGTGCGCCTTATGTATGAAAAGAGATACGTTCATCAACAGTGTGCTTTATAATCTAGTCCGCCATAAGGTCTGAAAAATAAATGTATCCAGGCCCAAGACGAGAACTTAAAATATTGAATGTGGTCGTTGTTTCTGTTCTTGACAGAGCTGTCGTCATTCAGAAATTTGACAGACAGTTGGATTTGACCCTCAGAGGATGAAAGGCCCTGAGAATAAAGAGCGTTATAAATTCCCAGAAATGTGAACCTGTTAATGCTTAGCAAAGCCTCCTTTTCCCAGTACCCAAAATGTTACTCATGACTTACCCCAGTTTTGCAGCAGAATTTAAAGTAATGCATAATTTTCATTGTTTGCTGCTTTCTCAACTTAAGAAAGCTTAAGGAGCCTAAGGGGCCTTGTTGTCATGTGAAAATGCTGTGTCTTGGAAGTATAAAGATCCAGTTTTGCTTTTTTTACAAGTGGAACACGTCCCACCAACAGCTCAGTGTGTCTTAATAACTACATTATAGATAGTTATATCAGTGATGGATGCATGTTTTTACAGTGCCATAAAGTTAGTCCTGGAAGGAATTCATGGTGCATGTATGGGTCAGGAAGTCATTGAAATTTCTTTTAATCGTGACTGTTGGATAAAGAGCATAAAAAGCAAAGTTTTGTTCATTTCCTTATAGCTATTTTTAGTGCTTTATCTGTCTTGCTTCTGGTCAGCTCCTGTGAGTTGTACCAGTGGGTTCATTACAAGTATCCTGTATGGCTTTTGAGAACAGACCACTAGTTGGTACAATCTGTTGTGGGTGTACTGTGACAATGTTCTATGAAATCACAGCAGTTCAGGTCCAAAGAAACCTTTGTTCAGACATTACCAGTGCTGATTTTCTTTGACTTGTGTATGTGTGTATTTTAAGGGTGTTATTATCTGCTAAGAGCCAGTCACCAGGGCACCAGATCGCAGCTCCAAATTTTGAGGAAGACGTGAACCGTAGAGACATTATGGCAGAGGCAGACGGAGCTGGCTCACGCACACCATCACAAGATCTGTGCGCTGGCCTGAAGGGGCCTGAGCAGATAAGCCAACACTCGCCCTGTGGGTGTTGTGGGGCAATGTATCGCCGATTTGAAAAGGATTGATAGTCAGTGGTGTGTCTCCTCAGAGTGCTCTGGGCCTGCTTCATAGAAACCAAAAGAACAATCACTTCAGGGATTGTTATGAATATAATAAAATATTACAGTTTGCATATTCTCAAAAAAGTCATTAAAAATAGAATGTAGTGATTTTTCAAATCACATTGAATTCAGAATCCAGCATAGAATTATAATATTTACACGGAGACATTTTGCTCTTTCATGAAGAAAATGTTCATTTTTAATTTGATGGATGTGTCTCACAAAATTACTGTATGGGCCAAGGAGCTCCAGAGATCACTGTCTGTGAACATAGTCCGCCGTGCAATCTAGACATACAGGTTAAAGGTCTGTCATACAAAAATGTATCCATATGTGAACATGGTGCAGAAATGCAAATAATAGTGAGTGTAAAACTGTGACTCTTTCTTTGACTGTCTACGGTAGATCTGACAGTGCCTGTTTGGGCTGTGAATAACTGATATTTATTGAAGTTACTGCTGATGTACCACATGGCTTAAACCCTCCTGCTTTGGAGATGATGCATATACTGTATGGATATATGCGCATATATTTAAGACACTCAGAAAAAAGACAACGACCAACTTGGAGAAACAACCACAACACCGGCCAGTTACCATGGATAACACTGAGTAGGGTGTCTCATTAGTAACGTCTAGCAGGCAGATCATGAGGGACACACCCAAGTTTTGTTTTGTTTTTTTAAACTCTCGATCAAACGTTTTTTAGAATTAAATTTTTTTGTCAAATTGCCAAATACACTCGATAGTTACAGTTACTTTTGCTTATCAAGTCAACACAAATGTTTCAGTTAGGACAGAAAAAAGCATGTGGAATAATTTAGCTAACAGGGGTGGGGTTACAAAAAACTATACAGCATAGTATTGCAATATTTTGTATGGCAATAATCTATTAAATAGGGATGCCAAATATCAGTGTTATGAATGAATTAAAATACTCGGGGAGTACTTCAAAGAAGAGGTTTCATCTCACGCACAACCATCCAATTTAATGTAAGTTTGTTTGACTAACGTTACGTTACATTAAATTGGCTCAACTGAAAAACCATCAGACACTGGACACAGTTATTCAGAGCAAGCCTATGGCTCAGTCACACACATGCTAGAACAAAAATGGTGGCTTTTTTCACAATGTGATAACGCACTTGTCATTGTTGAAAGATACAACAAAATTTCATTTGGTGACCAGCAACCAATGGTAATGGTTTTCCAAAGCTTGAGTTTGTTGCACCTTTACCGCCACTTTTGAATAGACTGTGACATTGACAGTTTTTTGAAGTCATAATTTGCACTTCAAATGTCGATAATGTTATTAAAAAGGTTACAAATAACAATAGTCTTGTATTGTGAGTGAAGTGTTGTAATAATATTGTATTTTGGGATATCTGGTAATTCTCACCTCTATTAGCAAACATTCATAATTAGTACTGCAAGCATGGAGGGCACTATGGGCACTACATAGACTACAGAAGACGCACACAGTAGAAATAAACACTATATATGTTAATAGTGTAATGTGTTTAAGTGGGGCTTCCTTAATCTATAAAACAGTGAACCTGTTTCATAATCACTTTCATCTTCTGACATAAAATTGAAATTTCAAGCATATAGATTTGGGTTTACAGTGTTTGGATCCATCTTTATATGTCAAGCTCTGTAAGTTTGTCCTGGTTTGCATTACGGAGTGGATAAACTGTTTTATTGAGTAAATTGATTATATTAATGTGCAATTTTTTTATAGACTAAAGGATTAAATGTTTGAGCTGTTTTGAGCATCTGTGCAGCTTAATTAGTATTAGAGATGTGTGCCTGAGAGCTCCAGTTAATCCGTGACCATCTCCAATGCAAATTAGGCTGAAAAGTGTTTGATATTACCACCATGAGGACCCCTTTGATCTGTGCAGGCTGCTCACTGAATGAAGTTGTTATTGGACACTGTCCACTGAGTGTGTTTACATTTTAATCATGCCTCTTTGCTTATTGTAAACAGACTTATGAATCCTTTTAGCCCTTATTTTCTCCACTGCTCTGTGTTCAGGCTGGGCTTCCTTAACCGGAACTCTGCTTATCTCAAATAATCAATATTGGTCTGCTGAAAGTGCTCGGCCCTGCGGGCTCACATTTCACTTATTAACTGATTTTCATGCTCAAATTTGATGCACAACGGCAAATGACTACCTTGCAAAAAGAGGAAAATTGCCAACTGAGAGCTTTGGAAGTGTCAGTGTGTAGTTTGAGTTCTCGTCCCTGCATCAAGGGGAATTTCACTGGGGGCACTTATCCAGACCTAGGGAGCACTCCTGCAGGGAACTAATGGATCTTTGCTGCCAAAAGCTATCACTAATAACATGGATTCCTCTATGGCAGTTGTGGAACTTGAACCACAGGATGTTTTTTATGCCCTCTGCTGTCCTCATCCTCCTTGCAAAACACCTCCTTTACTAATCAAACCCTCAAAAAGCCTTTTTTGTTGGCCATCTTCTAATATTCTTCATTTTCTCTTTTTCTCACCACAGGAAAGATGAGAAGGAGTATGCACTGAAACAAATAGAAGGCACTGGAATATCAATGTCTGCCTGCAGGGAAATTGCTGTAAGTTACCGTTTTCATTACTAAGGCCTCACATGACCATGTTGTTCTCAGGCTCTTCAACCTCTTAACACCCACTAAGTCATTGCTTAGTATAAATGTTATGTCAAGGATATTTTTGTTTTAGCTACTTGCTAAATAGGCTAATTTTCAGAAACTAGAAGATGTTACATTTCGCATGGAGTTCAATACATTCATTTTGGCAACACGATTGTTATGCCAAGACTGTGTCCGTTTGGTCTACCTTACAATATAAAATGCCTTGAGGCGACTGTTGTTGTGATTTGGCGCTATATAAATAAAATTGAATTGGTTAATCCAAACAGACGTCCATTTTTATCATAGACGAAACTTGTGAAAAACCCTAACCCTAAATGGGTAGCCAGCGACCTGGTAGATGTCGAGATGACTTCATTTGCTGCAGAGATAAACATCAGCAAATATCACAAAACCCTGTGAAGACTTACTCAATATTTTCAAGCAGACTCTTCAGTCTGGATGTTTCTTTTAGCATTATATATAGAATAGTATCAGAGTTTGTCCAAGATGAGGATTTAAGTGATTGCTTTGAAGTTCTTAATGGGAGAACAGACAGTAAGAACTGGTAACCATTTTGGTCAGAAGATAGAGAGATACATGCTCCTTTGTAGTTTTGATTCTAGTTCCCTACAAGCAACAGGTACAGTCTGCTACTAAAACACAGAGTAAAGTTAGTAAAGGGTCAACCCGCAGCTGCTAAAATTAAAATGAATGTAGCGTTGTTTTGCTTCATGTCTGTTGAATGAAACTTGGCAGAGATGCAGCTCAGTATATTCAGAACAGATTCATTATAATCAGAATCGCTGACAGATTTAGTAAATTTTAAAAAGGTCAAAGAAATAAAGTAAAATAAAGTATTTTATCTGAAAAGTCTCCTGAGTTGTTCTAATCCATACAGCCCAAGGATGGTCATATTGATCATTTCGTTTTGAAGCTGTTAATGAATTGGGGCATGTTTTTCAAGTAGAAAGGAAACGTAATAGAATATAGTTCAAGTGGGTAAGTGATGACATTGATGCTAGCACTGGCACTGTTTCCACAAATGTACTGCCTGCACACATAAAACCATGAGAAGCATTTTCTCTTCTCATAAAGAATGTTTTTAACACTTCATTAGATCTATTTAACAGTGGTTTTCACCCTTTTACTTGTGAAGTAAACTTAAAATGGCAAAGTTTCAGTAGATAAAGTATCGTATTATATTTAACGGGTCAGACTGATGCTGTAACTACCTGTGGTTTGTACACCTTAATATATCTTGTACAATTTAAAAAGGTGCAGAATTGATTAATTTAAGTTTTTATTGACTTGATTTTCTACAGCTTACTCAAGGATTTTTATTCTTATCTTATTTTCTCCTCACTGCCATGCCACTGATAAAGAGGCCATGTGCAGAATAATATTTTACTGAATATAATAAATGCTTTTTTATCCCTCAGCAGTAAAAGGTTGATGGGTTATTGTGGTCACCCTGCGGCAGTTTGTGAATGTGATAACTCAAGATTGAAGCAACATAGACGTTTCAAATTTATACCATAGGTGTATCTACTCTCCACCACATGAAATACCACGATCATGATCAAGGCTGCAATAGAAAAACATCAGTGTTGCCTGTAAGAAGTAAAAAGAAAACAACTTGTACCTTCTTATCAAAAATTTTCTAACTCATTGTCAGATTCTCTTCCCCCCATCATGTGAGCAATATGGGCGTGCCACTCTCTCAGTCTTAAAAAGAAGCTGCAGTGTACATTTACTGAATGACAAAACAATGTCACTTGGATAGTTTACAATATTTCTGCATAAAGCTTCACACAATAGCCGTGTTTATTTATTTTTATAATCACTTTGTAAGATTCGGTAGCCAGCTGTCACATTTGACTCTGTCAGGTGAGTAGAGGGGATGTCGTGTTGGTTGAGTGCATGTCAGTATGTCACTTAGCAAGTCCTGCCGATAGACACAGAATGTGGCCAGACAGGCTGGTGAGCTGTTATGTAAAGGTCTCTGGTTTCATGTATAACATGGTCAGCTGGAGGGGAGCTGAGCACTGTATATTGTAAACACAGTAAATGACTCTGCACCAGCATATCCATCAGTAATGGCCAAACTCAGTGTAGTTTCCATGCCCCTTTGCCACCCAGTAACATTTAAACTCACTCAACAACGTGTTGCATGTTCTCAGTTCCTCTTTTTGCCTGTGATGTTCTGGGTAGTGTGTACATTTTTTACAAAGAAAACTGATATAACACTACACTAAATGAAAGTGATATTTCTACTAAGACATGTCGACTGTACATAAAAGCTCAAAAAGTCCACTTGATTTAAATGAAGTGCAGTATTATTACACTGAGCTTTTATTTAAAAAAACAAAACAAAAGCTTGGACACGCAGCAAAGGGCTGCAGGGTGGTTTCAAACCCAGGACAGCAGCTTTCAGCCGTATAGTATGTGGTTTTCTCTTTGACGTGGGGATTTTGTAGACCTTGGTTCCACTGCATTTTACTCATCTGTCAACATAGAACAGGTTTTACTGTATATCTACTGGATATACAGTCTTCTGAAAAAATAGAGTGAGATTATTTTAAAAATGAATGGTTCTTTTTCCCAGATGCGTGTCACGGGTTCCCGGGGCAAGCCGTGTGAATTTAACAAAGGACCCAAGATGCGGATATGCAGTGAAGTGAGAGGGCTTTATTGACACAGAACCCGAGTGACAACAAACAAAAGGAGAGTGTGGCGAAAAACCGAACTTAGACATAAACTACACTGGGAAAACTAAAACCTAAACAACAAACCTGAACACGAGAGAAAGCAACTTGCAGGGAGAATTCACAATGAACAAGAACACAGAATATTATAAAGAAACGCAAAACATTGAGTCGTCAGACTCAGGACCATGACAATGCGCTTGCTCTTAGTTTTTCAAGGTAGTTAGCAGATGGTCTCTGCCCTATACTGTGTTCCTAGACTATTTAAAAGTAGAATGGGAGGTAGAGCTTTCAGCTTTCAGGCCCCTCTTCTGTGGAACCAGCTTCCAGTTTGGATTCAGTACACTGGAACCCTCTCTACTTTTAAGATTTGGCCTAGAACTTTCTTCTTTGATTAAGTATATAGTTACTGTTGGATCAGATGACCCTGAATCCTCCTTTAGTATTTTGGAGAACTTCCTGTGTTAATTAGGCTCTGTCAGATTTTTATATACAGTAAAACATCTCTGGCTACATGAATGTGTTGAAGCAGTGAGTGTCAAAAATTTGCTGTACTGGCATTACTCCACAATGTCACCTGTGCAAGTTAAAGTAGTTACTAATCTTTGTCATTTTGGAAACTGCTGTAGAGCTTTTATATAGAACTTAAACCCTCTCATACTGGTTTAAGGATTATGGTGCCATCCTGGTGTCATCTTCCTGGCACTGGCACTGATTTTTTTAGAAAAAAAGACAGAAGGACAGCCATGCAACAGATATGAAAAAGAAAAAGTACCTAGAAAAAGTAAAATAAGTTTTTTTTAGGTGATCTAGCGGTCGCTGTCTATTGATGACTGTCTGCAGCTTTGGTTGGTTGTCGGTGGGTTGGATATGTAGAGGTCTGTGACCTAAATCCCTCTGTGGAGGCTTCACTGTCTGTGTCCTCAACTATTTATCAGTTTTTTATCATTTATTTGACCTATATGTATTGTCCTCTTCAGTAGTAAAAACTGCTTTTAAAAATATTCTTTCTTAAATATACCTCTAAAAATACCCCTAAAATATATTTTAGGTGTTCCAACCAGCAATTATGAATTTTTGGTCCTTTGCTAACCTTAACATCTGTAGAACATTAGAAGTGATCAAGAAGCCTGACCACCATTATCAGTCCAGTACCCTTAAACCCCTGTAGAGGAGGAGATCTATTAGAATTAGAAATTTTCATATGCTCAGTTTGACTATATATATATTTCCAAATCATAATTATTGCACGTGGGTGTATGAATTTTCCAGCTGCGGACATGGCCTCAGATTTGGAGGCACTGATTCTCTTTCATACTCAGCTGCGAACCGCTACAGTGCGAGCTGGAGGCCATCACCCGATGAAGCCAACAGAACCATATAATTTGCAAAAAACAGAGATGAGATTCTGAGCCCACCCGAGTGGAAGCCTTTTGCCACTCGGCTACGCCTAGAAATTCTGTCCATAAAAATTACGAACAGAATCGCTGACAAAGGGCAGCCCTGGCAGAGCCCATCTCCCACTGGGAACAAGTCCGACTTGTTGCCGGCTATGCAGACCAAGCTCTTGCAACGGTTGTATAAGGATTGAATGGCCTGTAGCAATGGGCCAAACACCCCACACGCCCAAAGCACTTCCCACAGGACACTTCGAGGGACACAGTTGAATACCTTCTCCAAGTCGAAAACACATGTAGACTGGTTGGGCAAACTCCCAGGTACCCTCGAGAGGATAAAGAGCTGGTCCAGTGTTCCACAACCGTGACGGAAACCGTATTGTTACTCCTGTATCTGAGGGTCTACTAACAGACGGACTCTCCTTTCCAGGACCCTGGCATAGACTTTCCCAGGGAGGCTGAGCCATAAATTAAACTTAAATTATCACACATGTAATTTGTCATTTTGAAAAATTTGAAGCACATGCAATTTTGTAAAATTATGGAGTGAATATGGTGAACTGTGGTTTTTGGGGACTATTGATGGAAGAAAAAGAAGACCTGTTCAAGAGACAGCCTTCAGCACGGCACAGAAACATGCAATATTTGAGGCTATGGTGATCTTGTTCCTTACTGTTTGAGTACTGTATGTGTAAGTGGTTTACTGGCAATCTGGTGGATGATAAAACATTAAGACCTACTTATTTTAAGACTGTGCACAAGCTCTCTTGGTAGAGCAGGTCCCAGTTGTTAAGTTCTGATTTTACATTTTCAGGGTCCCTTGTTTTTTTTAGATAGTTTGGTTAAGCAAAAGCCAGTTGTA